CTAACTTGCTTTACCTGTCCTTTGAAGGATTTTTTTATTAACTCAGTAAGCATTTTATTGAGCATCTAATATTTGCCACAGTGCTGGTCTTTCTGCATTGAGTACTAATATGTAAGACCGCCACAATTTAGCTCTTATGAGTTTGTTTGAAAATGTTTGCTCTCTGAAGAAAGACTTTAGAGACAACATGGCAGGTCCTAGAAATTGACCTTCTGTCATTTGAATACTACATGCCAATGTAGACAGCTGCTTGTCCCTTCTGCTTCTTAGAACTCACTTGTTCATCATTCAGCAAACGTTTGAGTACTGCCATGTGCCAGGGATTATGCTAGGCACCACTATTCTGGAACTTAATGCTGCTTTGGCACTATTCACAAATGCCTGCTTAACTGGTAGTAAGATCTTATCTCTAAAGCATCCATGTCCTTAGCCTCTTGGAAAACAACCAGTTGAGAAATGAAGAACAGTGATTGAGCATTAGGGAAAATTCACCAAATCTTATCCACAGTGGGGAGTTGGCTTATTAATAAGATCATTAGTTTATTGAGCTAGTAACACATCCCAGTATCTCATGGCCTTCAGTGCTTGCAATGTAACAACTACAGGCTCTTCTCTTATTTAGCTGAAATAGAGCAGGGAGCATCCTGCAGCTTGCCTTTCTTGGTCATATACTGTGTCTTCCTAAAATTGCTGCTCCTATGGAAAAGTAAGAGGTGGATTGTTCTGAGCTGCTGTCAGTATGTGAGGTGAGGGGACCAGGGACTATTCCTTTACTTTCCTTTAGAACTAGCCTTGCAACTTGGGCCCAATGATGGGCTCTTTTTTAGTGGTCCTGTATTTTTGTTGACCTTTGAGGGGGTTGGCAATTTCTAATTAAGATAAAGGGGTAATAGGTCTCTTAACAGAGGCAGAAATTAATCCTCTACAAAACTCCAGTGTAGAAGAATAATTTCTGTCTATTCTACACTCTCAAGGAGACAGAACACACCTTCCATTCCTACACAGTGGGCTACACAGTGACTTACTTATGAAGAATCTAGTACAGGGACGAAAGAGTAACTGCATCAGAGGAACAAAAAAAGCATCATCCTCCCACAAAACACGTGATGATGTTGTTTAAACTCAGTTTTTAACTTATCACTTAAAACTTGTGTATCTTGGCAAGGTGTTTTCTTTTTCTGTCAGTCATGGGCCTTGAACTCTGGGCCTGGGCACTGTCCTTGAGCTCTTCAGCTCAAGGCTAGTGTTCTACCACTAGAGCCACAGCGCCACTTCTGGTTTTCTGGTGGTTAATAGGAGATGAGAGTCTCATAAACTTTCCTGCCTGGGCTGGCTATCTACTCAAGAGGCTGAGATCTGAGGATCATGGTTCAAAGCCAGCCCAGGCAGGAAAGTCCGTGAGACTTTATTTCCAATTATCCACCAGAAAACCGGAAGTGGCGCTGAGGCTCAAGTGGTAGTGCACTTGCCTTGAACTGAAGAGCTGAGGGACAGTGCCCAGGTCGAGTTCAAGCCCCACGACTGACAAAACACAAAAACAAAACTCTTAGAGACAGCACCCAGGCCCTGAGTTCAAGCTGCAGTACGTGCACATACACACAAAAAGTTTTTTTTAAAGACTTTGTTGTGCAGTTCTCTGGAGGAGAGTCTATAGTCTTCCAAAATTCCTGTCGTCCCTGAACAGTGTTTATAACTCAGCAATTGCCACTGGAGAGAATGTTTAAGCTATGTGCTTTGGGTCATATATCTATTTTAAAATCTGATAAAGAAACAGAGCTGAGTGGCACACGACTGTAATCCTAGTACTTGAGAAGCTAAAGCAAGAGGATAGCAAGTTCATTGCCAGCCTGAACTAGATAGCAAGACTCTAGCTCTATCTCTCTTTCTCCCCCACCTCTCTCTCTCACACACACACTAGTAATTCCTGTACAAAAGTAGACCAATAATCAGATGATAGTAAAAACATCTTACTGAAGGAAAAATGATTTGAGTGTTCTAATTTAAGAGCAAATTTTGAAACTTGGAATTGTTTTTTTCACTTCACATATACTTGCCACAAATTGTAGTTTTTGGAGTTAGTTCATTGCAAATTGAATGAACCAGGGGTTATTCCATTAACAAATAGGTGTTTTATGTATATATGTATGTTTTATGTATGTAGTAGTTATTTTGTACTGAGAGAGAACTGAAACTTTGAAGTATAGTGAACTGATTTTATAGAAAAAATGTGTATTTACTTAGTCTTTAGCAGTTTTTAAGCTTTTATTCTTTAAAAATATTTAGACATTTATTGTTTTTTTTTGGGGGGGGGTCCGGTTGTGGGGCCTGAACTCTGGGCCTGGACGCTGTCCTTCAGCTCTTCAGCTCAAGGCTAGCACTCTACCACTTGAGCCACAGCGCCACTTCCGGCTTTTTTCTTTTTGCTTATGTGGTGCTAAGGAATCGAACCCAGGGCCTCATGCATGCAAGGCAAGCGCTCTACCACTGAGCCACCTCCCCAGCCCTATTTAGACATTTATAAAAGAGATCTATAAAGTCCTCAATTTGAGTAAGTTGTAGAGGTTCATGAGTCTACTACAGCCTATTCTTACAATTCTTGAACTCTCTACTTGGGATTTATAGGTTGTTGCCGTTAAAGAAACACATTCTGTTCTATTTGAGGCCTTAGTCTCATGATTTTAGAGGCTCAAAGTTTCATTCATATCCATTCTCATCAGCAACTTCATCCTATTTCTCCATATATATATAACATTTCTCTATCCAAATTTTTGTCTCATATTTCACCTTAGGAAAGTGTGTCCAATACATGTCCTATTTTTCCTTTTGTAATTTCAAAATTTTCCTATTTTTACTTTGTAAAAGTGATATGAGCAAAATAAAGAGTTAATATATATGCAACTATATGTATGTATATTTATCAGTATGTATATGTCAGTGTTAAAATGTATATATTGATGCTCTCTATGCCACAGCTTTTGGTACTAGGACTTGAACTCAGAGCCTCAAGCTTTCTAGGCAAGCATTCTTGAAACACTCTTCTAGCCTCCAGCACTCCTTGTGTATGTGTGTGGCAATACTGGTACTTGAACTCAAGCTCTTGCTTGTTCCCCTGCTCCTCGCCCCCCCCCCCCCCCCCCCCGCAATCTGGGCAGAAGCTGTACCATTTGAGCCACACCTCCAATACCAAATATTCTTTTATTCTTTTCATGAATAATTACTGTAGGTGTCAGTCTTTAAGCAAACATCAATTCATGAATAAATATATTCAGTGAATTTTCTTCCAAATTACACTTTTAAGTTTTCCCCCACCCTCTCTCTCTTCTCTCCCTTTTTTCTCCTTCATTCTCTTCTCTCTTTCTTTTACCCCTTTCCTTCTTTTGTTGACAAAGTCTCAGTTCTCAGTATTTTCCATTCCAGCCTGTCCCTGAACACTCTCTCTCTCCCTCTCCGTTTCCCTGTCTCCCTGTCTCCCTCTCCCTCTCCCCTCCCTCTCTCTCTCTCTCTCCCTCCCTCCCTCTCTCTCTCTCTCTTTCTCTCTCTCTCTCTCTCTCAATAGTCCTGGGGCTTAAACTCAGTATGTGGACACTGTCCCTGAGCTCTTTTGCTCAAGGCTAATGCTAGACACTTTGAGTTGTAGCTCTACTTCTGGTTTTTTGGTGGTTAATTGGAGATAAGAGTCTCAAAGACTTTCTTGCCCTGGCTGGCTTTGAATTTCAGTCCTCAGATCTCAGCCTCCTGGATAGCTAGGATTATAGGTATGAGCCATTAGCAGTTGGCCACCTTTACTTATCTCTCAAGCTCCTGTTGTTATTATAGGAATATATTACCATACTCAGGATTTCTTGATAATTATTTCTCCTACTATGTTATGCTTAGACTTTAAATCTTTGATTCATTTTTTTTTCTTTTTGGTTGTTTGTAGGGCTTGAACTCAGGGCCTGGGTGCTGTCCTTGAGCCTGTTTGGATTCAAGGCTAGCACTCTACCCCTTGAGCCACAGTGGCACTTCTGGTTTTTGAGTGGTTAATTGGAGATTAAGTGTCTCATGGGAACTTTTCTGCCCTGACTGGCTTTGAGCCACCATCCTCAGATCTCAGCCTCCTGAGTAGTGTGAGCTTGCACCCATCTTCTTTGATGCTTTTTAAGGATAACTTTAAACAATTGTTTGTATACACACACGTATATATATATATATATATATATATATATATATATATATATATATATATATTGCTTTGGAAACACTCTTACCAATTCTCAAAAATATAATTGGCACTTGTGCTTTTGTTGTTGTGGTGGTGGTCATTGGGCTTGAATACAGGGTTTGAGCAACTTTTTTGCTCAAGATTAGCACTTGAGCCACACTTCCTTGTCTGGCTTTTTTGTTGGCTAATTGAGATAAGAATCTCATTGACTTCCCTGCCTGGACTGTCTTCGAACCATGACCCTCAGAACTCAGCCTCCTGTGCAGCTAACAAATGTAAGCTACCTGACAGCACGTGCACATTTAGAGCTAAACTGAGTTTAGTACTAGTGAATGACATTTATCAGATTTTAACTGCTGTTCATGATAATCTGCCAGCTGTGTAAAATTCTTCTTAATTATCACTATTTTTCCTGCTGTTTTTGTTGTTGCTTGACTGTTAACTCTTTGGGGAATATAAGCTATTGAAATTGAGTCTGAGAGAATCCATAAAGCCAAATTGTGTTCTTATTTTGGTATATTTCTTTCCTCTTTGGATATTTTCCTTTTACAATGTTCTCCCTTTGTAGCACTTACATTCGATTTTGATTCTATTGCCCAAATAGTGATAGTTTGTTTACTTCTTAAAAAAAAAGCTGTGCACTTGGGAATTAGAATATTTGAATTTCTGTTTGTTTCTAAAGACACATTTTTCTTTATTAGATTTTACAAGAGGTGTTTGAATATATTTTTCTAAAGAAAACACTGAAAATATCAAACTATTATAAAAATGAAAATGATATGAATTTGACTTTCAGTGCAATGCGTGTTTTACTGTCAAAATTACCAAGACCGTGGATTGTGGATGAAAAGAAAGATGATGGTTACACTGCTTTGCATCTGGCTGCTCTAAATAATCATGTAGAAGTGGCTGAACTCTTGGTTCATCAGGTAGGGAAAGAAGAGTAATTTTTGACAATTTTGGAACATTCCTGTAAGTATTGCTTTAGCAATTGCCTATTAAGGGGCATTAAAACTTACTGTAATGAGAATTCAGATACAATGCACATTCTGTTTTCTAACATGGGTTGTTTGTTTATTTTTGTTTTGAGACTGAAACTTGCTATATATCCAAGGTTAAACTTGAATCCATAAGTTCTCCTGCCTCAGCTCCCTGAGAGCTGAGATTTTACAGGCATGCACTAAAAAGAGTTGTGTTGGAGCTCTGTACTGTTCTTTGTCCTTAAATAGAAATGGATTTTATAAATTCCTCCTGTATCAATACCTGTTCCTGCATGAGAATAATAAGCTACTGAGCTGGGCACTGGTGGCTCATGCCTGTAATCCTAACTATGCTGGAGGCTGAGATCTGAGGATCACGTTTTGAAGCCAGCCCAGGTAGGAAACTCCAGGAGCTCCTATCTCCAGTACACTAGTCAGAAAAACTAGAAGTGGCACTGTGGCTCAAGTAGTAGAGAGTTTGCCTTGAGCAAAAGCAGCTCAGGGACAGCACCAAGGCCCAGAATTCAAGCCCCAACAGCAAAAAAAAAGCTTCTAAGGAGAGAAAGTGGTCAATGGTGTCCAGTGTTATTTATTTCTTATAAATACTCAAGAGTTTTTATGGTCTTCATTGTCAAAATTTACAACTTAAAATTTGTTTTTCTTCAGGGTAATGCAAACTTGGATATCCAGAATGTGAACCAGCAAACTGCCCTACACCTTGCTGTTGAACGACAGCATACCCAGATTGTTAGGGTAAAGTATTAATATAAAGTTTAGTGTACATTATCAAAAATGTTAAAAGTTTTAAGTTTTTTGTTATATTACTAGATTTTTGAATTCTCAAAGCTTGTAGGCTGAAGTAGCAGCATCAGTATTACCTGGGAACTTAGTAGAAAAGTTGATTTTTTTTTTTTTTTTTTTTGTCGGTCATGAGGCTTGAACTCTGGGCCTAGGCACTGTCCCTCAGCTCTTCAGCTCAAGGCTAGCACTCTACCACTGGAGCCACAACACCACTTCCCGTTTTTTGAGTGGTTTATTGGAGAAGAGTCTCAAGGCCTTTCCTGCCTGGGCTGGCTTTGAACTGTGATCCTCAGATCTCAGCCTCCTGATTAGCTAGGATTATAGGCGTGAGCCATCAACCCCCAGTGAAAAGTTGAGTCTTTTTTTTTGGGTCCGGTTGTGGGACCTGAACTCTGGGCCTGGGCGCTGTCCCTCAGCTCTTCAGCTCAAGGCTAGCGCTCTACCACTTGAGCCACAGCGCCACTTCCGGCTTTTTTCTTCTTGCTTATGTGGTGCTGAGGAATCGAACCCAGGGCCTCAGGCATGCAAGGCAAGCGCTCTACCACTGAGCTACCTTCCCAGCCCCGAAAAGTTGATTCTTATACCTTACTTCAGACCCATCACATCAGAACCTCCAAATGTATAGAAAATTCCTGGCTTAACAAGCTACTCAAGCAATCCTCATGTTTGCTCAAATTAGAGAAATAATTGCTTTAGGTAACATCTTACGTAATCTTGTTTTGGAACAAAGATGCAATAAACCATAATTTGACAAGAATATATGCTTTATGAGGTTCTATAAAAACCAATGACATTCTTAAGCTACCATAAAGAAAATCTTAAACATTTATTGTTTAAGCTCCTGAAATGTATCATTTATATATTTTATCCAGATGAGTAGTTGAGCACACACTGTTCACATTATTTGAAGTCCTCTTTCCAAAAATTATTTACTTTCCTTATAATCATATATTTGGAGATAGTTGGCCAAACAAATGAAATGAATAACTTTCATTTGTTTGCTTAACTAATAGTGAATTTTAAACATTACAAATTGGTCATGGTAGGAAAACTTGAAATGATTCAGTATCTAAAATTTAAAAGTTCCAGATTTTCCTCCATGATCTTAGAGTAAATGAATTAATATTGATTCTCATTTCTTGCTGTTTTCTCTAATACAGATCCCATCTACCGTTCTACAGAGGGGTGGGTGTAGAATAGTAGAAAGCAAAGACGTCAAAAATTTTTTATGGTAACTTCAAAATAGGTCCAAGATGCTCTCACTGTTACTTTAGGTGTGTTAGAGTTGCTTATGAGTATGGATACTTGTTTTCCACAATGAGGTATGTCTTCCTCTTTTAGCTTTTGGTCCGTGCAGGAGCCAAACTAGACATTCAGGATAAGGATGGAGATACTCCTTTGCATGAAGCTCTGAGGCACCACACTTTGTCTCAACTCCGTCAGCTGCAAGATATGCAAGATGTGGGGAAGGTAGATGCTGCCTGGGAACCATCAAAAAACACAGTGAGTGAAGATAATTTTTCCTCTGTACTGTAGAAGTGTCTTTTAATGCAAGATGTTATATTGGCTGTTTATGCAATCTGTCTTGGATAAACTAGTTAACTAGTTCACCAGGACTATATACTTGGAACTTTAGTCCATAAATGAAATTCTACATTCTTACTGAAAGTTATTTTGTTTTTTTTGACTCAGCCATTTACATCAATGTGGAGTGATATTTTGTGGTTTTAATTTGTGTTTCCCAAATGACTAATTATATTGATCTTCTTCTCATTTCCTTATCACCACAAATACCTATTCAAATATTTTTCATTATTCTTTTGAGCTGCTTTTGATTTTATTTTTGAACCTTTAGTGGTTGAACTCAAGGCTCATGCATGCTAGGCAAGTGCTCTGCCACTGAGTGTTTTCTTCTCATTGTTTCAAGAGTTCCTTATATAATCTGAATACAAATTTATATGAGATATGAGGCATTCACATATTTTCCCCCTATCCATAGCTTATTACCTAAATAACCATCTGTGTAACCTTTTGGAAAATTCCAAGTCACTCGAGGAGGGTTTATTATAATTGACAAAAATGCTATGCTGTGTTTTTGACATCAAATTGATAGCTTAGTGATGGAGACCAGTGGGAGAAGGTGTGCTTTTGGGGAAAATAAATAAAATTGAGTACTGTCAAAATAGACTATTTGCAAAACATAGAACAAGGAAAGGTGACTATTTGAAAGTATGAAAACAGAACAAAGAAACTTGTTGGGAATGCCATTTTTTAGAGGGAAGGGTACAGGAAGGGTGTAATAAAGGCGGTAAAATTGATTGAAATACAGTATGAATGTTTGGAAATGTAACCAATCTCCATCTCCCATATAACTGATGTAAGCCAATAAAAAATGTTAGCTTAGTCAACAGTGTTGAAAAGTGCTTTTCAAAAATTATGTATGTAATTACATGTTCTGTTTTCAGGCCCAAGTGCAAATGCATCAGCTAAATAGAGTAGGTGACTGCTTCTAATGAAGCCATAGTTACTCTTGAAAAGAAGGCACTCTATTTTCACCTTCTCAACAAATGTGGACTCTGTTATTAGAAAACTTCATTTAGTCCACAGTATCCTCAACATGCTTAACTGGATCTAAATAGTTCTGGAGATCCAAAGTCAAGAGCAACCTCTAGTGATGTTTTTGTAGGCGGAGTCCTGGAATGGTATGGCAAGAGATGAAAAATGCTTACGTGTGTCTCATCTTTTTCTTTCTTTTCTCTTTAAATTTTTATTTATTTTTTATTGTGAAAATACTTTACAGAGGGGTTACAATTACATGGGCAAGATAATGAGTACATTTCTTATCGAGCATTGTAGCCTTCTCCTTTGTTTCCCCTTCCCATCCCTTCCCATCCTCCCCCCACCCCCCTCTTTCTTTTTAAACTAGTTTTTGTTTGTTTTATTTTTTTGAGATAGGGTCTTGCTATATTATCCAGGCTGACCTCAACTTTTTAATCTTCTTTGCTTCAGCCTTCTCATAATTTGAGATTTTAGGCATAACCAGTGTATATATGTTACTATGCCAGGTTTTTAACAGTGTTCTTGAAAGAACACTGATTTTTTAAAAAAATTTGATGAAATGTATATTTTTTATGAAATATATTTTTAATAATATGTTTCTTTTATTGCATTTGCCCAACTTGGAGTCCCTAAAGTTCTCTTTTCTTTTGTACTGGAAGTTTATAAAGTTTTTGCCATTACATTTAGATCTGTTGTTAATTTTAGATTTTTAATTTTGCAATACTGGAATTTGAACTCCCAGACTGTCATTGATCATTGATCTTGCCGATGTCTGCCTCCCATAGCTTGGGTTACAGATGTACACCTGTCTTGCGTTTTGTTCTTTTGGCCTTTGTTTTTAGGTGTGCATTTCCATCCTTAACTGTCTTGATTATTCTAGCTTGAATAATAAATATTGAAGGCAAGTATTGTTAAGTCCTTCACATTTCTATATGAATTTTAGAGTTACTTTGCAGGGCCTTATGAGACTGAGACCATGCTATCTTATTGTGTGACTGTAGGTACATTCTCTAAATTCTTTGTGCCTCCTTATTTTAAAATTGAAGGAAGAGGGCCGGGAAGATGGCTCAGTGGTAGAGCGCTTGCTTTGCTTGCATGAGGCCCTGGGTTCGATTCCTCAGCACCACATAAGCAGAAAAAGCCGGAAGTGGTGCTGTGGCTCAATGGTAGAGCACTAGCCTTGAGCTGAAGACTGAGGGACAGCGCCCAGGCCCAGAGTTCAAGCCCCACCATCAACAAAAAAAAAAAAAATTACCTACATAAGATTTTTGTAAAAAGTGATCTGTAATAGTTACACAATAAATCTTAACAGTATCATGGTTGCTTTCAAATATGTTTTAGTCAGTACCTCTTGTTAATATAATCAGAGAACCTGATTAGTCTTGTTTTCCTTGTTTGTTTGTTTGTTTCATAAATACTGGTTCTTTCCTCATTTGATTTTTCCCTCATTGTATCAAGTTGGTTGCTAGCAACTTCAGAGCCTATAGAATAGAAAAGAAGCTACCATTTCTTCAGTGTCTTAACAGATGTCCCCTTGAGGTTTTTTTTTTGATGAAAATACCGTACAGAGGGGTTACAGTTAACATGGGCAAGGTAATGAGTACATTTCTTATCAAGCATTGCTGTTTTCTCCTTTGTTTCCCCGTCCTATCCCTTCCCATTCTTCTCCCCCCCCCCCCCCCCGCCCCCACGTCCCCTGCTTCCTGCTCTTGAATTTTATTAGCCTTAATTGACCTGACTTGGGTTATGTGTTTATACCTGAATTGGTCATATAAATGAGGTCAATAAGCCGACTGGACTGAGCCACCTTTCATCTAACTCTACAACTGGAGAATGAGTCAATTCTCATTATATGCCTGAGAACAGAAAGAGGAGTAGATTTTTGGACTGAAATGCTTAAATGTCTATCATACTCGTGTGTATGTTCACACATATACACAGGTAGTAAAAGGGGATTGATTGCAGATCTTAAGGAGAAAATCATGATTCTTTCTGTTTGATTTCAGTTAATAATGGGACTTGGTACTCAGGGGGCAGAGAAGAAGAGTGCAGCATCGATTGCCTGTTTCTTGGCAGCCAATGGTGCTGACCTTAGCATTCGAAATAAGAAGGGTCAATCACCACTTGATCTCTGTCCTGATCCAAGTCTCTGCAAAGCACTGGCAAAATGTCATAAAGAAAAAGTCAGGTTGGTATTCTTTAATATCTTAAACTTAATGTTATACACATAAAATATTATGTGGTTTCATTATGAAAGACTTGACTGTCAAAATTAATTTGCAGTTGAAATTCCTGTGTCTTTGTGTTGCTTCTTTCTTCGAGAATTTCCCTCCAGGCAGTGTGTCTCTTCTTTCATGTTATACTTCCCACATTATTAAGTTTACTGTTTTGTGTATAATAAATTCAAGAAAATTTTCTAGTGTGGTTATCTGGGCATCTTGTACATTACAGGAGTTAATAAGAAAAAAATCTTACAACTTTACTAGTAAAATTGCTGTGATTAATGTTCTATGTGTTAAGTTTTCAATATCTTCCTACATATCAACAAGGTATATCTCATGCAAATTGCAATAGTTCTAGCATCCTGCATTGGGTGGCTGAGAGCACTCAATAAGTATCAATGAAGGACTGAAAAAATAAGCAGATGAATAATTCACTATGGAGTTTTCCTAACTACAGTCATTTCACATTTGTCTTTGTATTTTCTGAAAATAAAATAGGTCAACAAGAGATATTGTGTAGACAAACAAAAAGGCACATAGCTCTACCTTTTTTACCTGGACAATGCCATGCTGTTACTGTTCTTCATAAATTTTTCTTAGTACTGAACATCTCAGTAGCTGTCCCTTGTAGAACTTTGTTCTATAGATAGAGCAGGTTCTGAGATACACTTTGTTTTTACTAAATTATTTTTACTATGAATTTTATTGGTTTGTCAGGTAATTCACTCTTTTCCATGGAGCAGGGATTCATCCAGTTTGAGGATTGAATTGTACTACATGCATGTAAAGATGCAGAGATATAGCTAAATATCAAAACACTATTTACAGAATTTCACATAAAAATTAACACCTGTATACTAATGCTTTAAACACATGTTAATGAAATTTTATAGAAATATTTGGGTGGGCTGATTTGAAATATTCTCTTTTATTAGTGGTCAAGTGGGTTCTCGGAGTCCTTCTATGATTAGTAATGATTCTGAAACCTTAGAAGAGTGTATGGTATGCTCAGATATGAAGAGAGATACTCTTTTTGGACCATGCGGACATATTGCAACCTGCTCTTTATGTTCTCCACGTGTCAAGAAATGCCTCATCTGTAAAGAGCAAGTTCAGTCCAGGACAAAGGTAATAAGTTGCAATGTATTTTATATGTTTCCTTTAGTGGTCATGATGTTTAAAATCAAGTCCTTGTGCTTACTGTGGAGAGACTCTCTGCATGCTTGAGCCAGATCCACAGCCTTTTTTGCTCTATTTTTTTTTTTTTTTTTGGTCGGTCATGGGGCTTGAACTCTGGGCCTGGGCGCTATCCCTCAGCTCTTCAGCTCAAGGCGAGTGCTCTACCATTGAGCTACAGCGCCACTTCCGGTTTTCTGGTGGTTTATTGGAGATAGGAGTCTCACGGTCTCTCCTGCCCAGGCTGGCTTTGAACCGCGATTCTCAGATCTCAGCCTCCTGAGTAGCTAGGATTACAGGCGTGAGCCACCAGCGCCCGGCTTTTGCTCTATTTTTGAGATAGGGTCTCTCACTTATGCTCTGGCTGGCCTAAACTAAATGAATTTATTCAAGTTCATTGTTGTCTAAATTTAACTATATACTGTTTTTGACTCAAGATTTTGGAACTCCTCTTTTTCCTTATTTTTATACCTATAATAGTTAAAAATAAAAGTTACCAGCTGGGCCCCAGTGGTTCATACGAGTAATCCTAGCTTGTCAAGAGGCTGAGATTTGGTTTGAAACTAGCCTATGCAGGAAAGTCTGTGAGACTCTCATCTCCAGTAAACTACTAACAAGCCAGAAGTAGAGCTGTGACTTCAGTGGAAGAATGCTAGTTTTGAGCAAGAGAAGTTCAGCAGTGGCACCCAGGTCCTATAGTCAAGCCCTAGGACTGGCACAAAATTTTTTTAATTAATTTAAAAAAGTTATCAGTTTTCTTTCACATCTTTCTATAACATAAAATATATTTAATTCTAGTTTGCATTATATACTATGAAATTTTCAATCCTCTAGGGAAGTAGAAAAACTCATGTCAGGATCCAGCAGATGAGCTGGTTGGTTGCAGATCCTTTGACTGTAAAGAAATAGTGACACCAAGTGGTTAAAGGATAGCAAGCATCTTGATAAAAATTATAAAATTAGTGTTTAGGGGAAGTGAGAATAAATGAGAATTTGTTCTTAGAAGAATCTTGTGGATTATTTAGCAGTTAGAGAAATACAAATAAATTACAGACTAATTTAAACCATTTCTGTTGAATTATCAATGCAAGTTCTTAAAAAGTGCTAAGAAAGTGCAAAATGTTCACCAGATACTCTAAAGAAAAGAATTTTCTTTTTAGTAGGAGAATAGATTGTTAGATTAAGTTGCTATATTAATCTAATTAATTGCTAGATCAATTAGTCATAATTAATTAGTAGATTAATTGAATTTTTAGGTTAAATTGTTATATTACTTTAACATTTCAAAAATATTGCTAGAAGCCAAGTACCAGTGCCTCATGATTATAATCCTACCCACTCAGAAGGCTGAGAGCTGAGAATCTTGGTTTGAAGTTAGCCCGGGCAGACAAATCCCTGAGACTCTTTTTTTCCAGTTCTTTTGGCAAAAAGCTGGAAATGGAGGTAGCACAAGTGGTAGAGTGCCCTCTGTGAAGCAGAACAAAAGCCAAATGAGAGCAAGAGGCCCTGATTTCAAGTTTCAGTACTGGCACAAAGGAAAAAACAAAACCAAAAACAATGTTAGGTAATTTATTAGTGTTGAAGGCAGATTCTGAGTCTAGTAATAGCAGAATCTTGACCAGCTATGTTGTATGTGTGTGTGTGTGTGTTACTACTGTTATTCCAGTTATGTCAGTTTTATGTACAGACTGTTATATGAATAGAAAAAAGTCTAGAGAGAGTCAACAGGCACAGGAGTTAGCAAGCATGCAGTGTTCAGTTGTTCAGGGGATGCTGTAGATGGTTAGCATTTTTGGACAGTGATAGTAAATGACACAGAGATGGCTAAATGTGACTGTGTGTTTGGAGGGTGAACAGGTGAAAGATGAAGTTTGAAGCCAGGGCTATGGAGTGTCACAAGGAAGGCAGAGCCAGGGGCTGTTAATAATTCCACAGCCCAAACTCAGACTTAGGGGAGATGAAGAGAGAAAATTGAGGAAAATTATGAATATCTAGGAGACTTGTGGGATTAGAGATCAGGAAGAAGGAATAGCCCCAAATTTTTGTCTGGTGTGGATATTGACTTAGTCCTAGGAAAAGAAGCTTTTAGGATATAGGTACAGAATAATCCCTTCTAGACTTTTAACTATCTGACTCATCCAGCTAGATTTTTTTTTTGGGGGGGGGGGGTAGGGGTCCGGTTGTAGGGCTTGAACTCTGGGCCTGGGCGCTGTCCCTCAGCTCTTCAGCTGAAGGCTAGCGCTCTACCACTTGAGCCACAGCGCCACTTCCAGCTTTTTTTTTTTTCTGCTTATGTGGTACTGAGGAATCAAACCCAGGGCCTCAAGCATGCAAGGCAAGCGCTCTACCACTGAGCCATCTTCCCAGCCCATCCATCTAGATTTTTATACTATTAGAAATGTCACTAAGTACCTGTGGCTCATGCCTGTTATCCTAGTTGCTTTGGAGGTTGAGCCCTGGCAGATCATGGGTTGGAACTAGTTTGAGCAGAAAGGTCTATGAAACTCCATCTCTAATTAGCAAAAAGCTGAGCTGGAAGTGTGGCTTAGGAGGTTGAACAAACTGAGCAAGCAAAGCCAAGTAAGTATAAGATCCTGAGTTCAAACCTCAGTACTGTCAAAAAAAAAAAAGGAATCTTCTTTCTTAATCATTTGTTCATTGTCTTTTAATTCTCATTCTCTCTCTCTCTCTAACAGTACAAGGTGTTTTTTTTTGGTCGGTCATAGGGCTTGAACTCTGGGCTTGGGGCACACCGTCCCTGCGCTCTTCAGCTCAGGGTGAGCGCTCTGCCTCTTGAGCCACAGTGCCACTTCCGGTTTTCTGGTGGTTTATTGGAGATAAGGGTCTCACAGGCTTTTCTGCCCCGGCTGGCTTTGAACCGTGATCCTCAGATCTCAGCCTCCTGAGTATCTTGGATCACAGGCCTGAGCCACTGAAGCTTGGCTCAGTACAAGGTTTTTAACTCAGTGCCTTGCACTTACTAAGCTGGCACTTTACCACTAGAGCCACATCCAGTCCTTTAGTTCCCTTTCAAAAAAGTAGTTTATGAAAATAAAATTGAAGTCTAGTCCCATCTTGCTGAGCTCAGAAGGCAGGGAATTTTTCTGAATGAGTCTTTAGGACAGGCAGGAAAACTTAATGCAGAAATAATGCCTACTAAGTTAAGGTCCATAAAGTTGAGATGAAAGTAAAGAACAGAGGGGAATGTATAGTAATTCTCTGTGCTTGAGGTTTCCCTTACAGATGAAACACATTTGATAGATACAAAAAGAACTAGATTCAAAATACTTACCTATAGTTGCTCACCTTGCCTTCTCTTTCTGTAGATTGAAGAATGTGTGGTATGCTCTGACAAGAAAGCTGCTGTTCTTTTTCAGCCTTGTGGACACATGTGTGCTTGTGAGAGTAAGTATGACCATATGACACTTCTTCAGCATTATTAAACAAAAATTCTTAGAGGTTTGTTTTGTTTTGGGATAGCCCACAGAAAAATGGTTGAGTCTGGCATCATCCATCTCTGTGCCTCTATCAGAAGGTTGACTATTATTAGCCTTCCTCCTCCTGAGCACAGAGTAGACTGAGCAATTCGCTTTCTTCTACTGGTTTAGGTTTGTTTCAGTTCTACTAGCACAAAGTGTTCTCTTTTCACATATTCTAGAACCTTATTTCCATAAGGGGAGTCTAGCTCCCCTTTTCCATAAAATTGGTACATCTTCATTTTTCAAAACTTCCTTTAACGTTGTCTCTTAGCCATATTGTCCCACTCCTGAGGGACTCACAGCAGCCATTCGGGGCTACAGTGTCAGCTTTTCTCTTAACTGTTATGCTGAGAGAACTTAATTCTTTGCTTTGTGAGATCAACATTGGAATTTAAGAGATGCTTTAAATTCTAAATATATTTTCCTGGAGACTTCTGCTTTTTTCTATCTCCTCTGTTCATTTCAACTTCTTACATCATTCAATGTTCTTTTCTTTTTGCACTTTTTTCATTTTACCAATGAAAAATTTTAAACAACTTTAAGGTAAGTATTTTGTTTACTATTCTAAAATAGGTCAGTAATAGGTATTGATTTTTTATTAGATTACATTATACAGAGGAGGTATTGATTTTTCATATGCTATCTCACTAGAATAATATACTAATAGTATGATAGTCTAATCTCATTGGCATAGATTTCTTTAAACCTTGGTGAGTTTCTTTCCACATTCTAGTAAGCAACTGGTCAAGTAAAGAAAAGGTCAGAGTGTTCTTTTTTTCGTACTTTTAAATTTTATTTAATTGTAAAGATGTTGTACAGAGGGGTTACATCTGTATGAGTAAGGTTATGTGTAAATTTCTTGTCGAACATTGTTACTCCTTCCTTTAATTTCATTACCATTGTGACAACTTGAAACTGGGATTTTCCTGTTTCTCCTACTGCTTTCAATTCTTTTTTTTTTTTTTTAATTGTGAAAATACTGTACAGAGGGGTTACAATTACATGGGCAAGATAATGAGTACATTTCTTATCAAGCATTGTAGTCTCCTCCTTTGTTTCCCCTTCCCATCCCTTCCATTCCTCTCCCTGCCCCCCTACCCCCCCTACCCCCAACCAAAGTTTTGTAAGGTTTGTTTTTGACATAATGAAGGTCAGGGTTTTCTGTTGTAACAATCTACCTCATATAGCTGTTTTTGTTCACCCAAGGCTGCTATAATGAGTATCATCAACTGTCAAAATGACACATAAAAGGAAAATCCTCTGTCTTGAGCCAGACACAGTGGCTCAAGCCTACAATCCTAGCTACTTGAGAAGCAGTCATTGGGTATTCTCATTTGGAGGCCAGCTTAGGCATAACATGTTCAAAAGATTCTACCTTAACTAAAGACTGAGCATGATGGTGCAGAAACATTTGTCTCCTGGCTACATGGAAATGCATAAAACAAAAAATAATATATAAAGGACTGCCAGAGTATTTCAAATGATAGAGTACCTCCTTAGCAAGCATAAGGCCCTGAGTTCAAACTCCAGTATCCAAAACAAACAAATGAAAAGAAAGATTCTCTTCTTGATTAAAAAGGACCCAGGTTAATTAAATTTTCATAGACTAGATGTCAGCAGACTTTTCCAGTAAAGAATCAATAATAACTACTTAGCTATTTCCAACTTCTCAACTGTGCCATTGTAGAACAAAAATAGTCATGAAAAATTTGTAACCATGTTCCAATGAACTTTATTTGTGAAAACAGACAGCCAGTAAGATTTGACCTTCAAACTGTAATTTGCTGACCCTTACTATGGACCAAAGTAATGCCTGCCTGAGAAGTTGAAGATGATTGTAATTTGATAACAATATATTATTTTCCCAGGGGATCTCCTAAAGTTTTTACGTATAATTTGCTAAAAAAAACTAAAACAACAAACTGGTTTTGAGCTGTATTGGTGCTTTTAACTTGGTAGTAGACATTTTAACCTATTTAAAATATCTTCTTATTGATCTTCAGAACAATCCGAAGAAGTAGATGGTTTCTCCTTTTTGTTTTTGGGGGTTTTTTTTGGCCAGTACTCCCTTTTGTTTTTTTAGGACCTCATGTTTGCTCAGTTTGCTTGCTTAGCTAGTTCTATATCACTTGAGTCATGATTCTAGTCTTGCTTTTTGCTGGTTACTTTGGAGATTGAGTCTTGTGGATTTTTTGCCCTGTCTTCAAACCCTGATTTCCCAGATCTCAGCCTTGTGAGTAGCTAGGATTAAGTGAGTCACTAGCACTTGGATAAACACATTCTTAAATATTTATCTGCTGAAGAAGATGAAGTGGAGGTGGAAAACGTTCTGTCCTAGAGTATACATTCCAAGACCCACATTGCAGTATTGTTAAGCTGAGTATTGGAGCTTTAAAGAGTGTAAAGTACCATTGTCAAGTCAAAAGAAGGAGAGATTATATCCTTTTTGAGTGACTGAAAGGAAATTTTTTAGAAACAGTTCTGAACAGTTAATAGGAAATTTAGATAATTCATTGTTGTTGTTGTTGGGATTGAATTAATCCTAAAAATTTAAGATGAAAATCTTTATCAAGCTAGATTTCTGATAATGTTATTTTGTATAACTAAGCGTGAAATACATTATGTTCAGTCTTAGGGATCAGCCTTGATAACAATTCTGCATCTAAAATGTAGCTGTTAGGAGTTTGTGCCCCAACTTGTCTACATCACTGATAGTGTTTTGTTTTTACCGAGTGTTGGTGGCTCACGCCTGTAATCCTAGCTACTCCAGGTGGCTGAGATCTGAGGATTGTGGTTCAAAGCCAGCCTTGGCAGGAAAGTCTGAGAAACTCTTATCTCCAGTAAACCACCAGAAAACCAGAAGTTGCACTAAAGCTTAAGCAGTAGAATGCTCGCCTTGAGCTGGAGAGCTGAGGGACAGCGCTCAGGCCCAGAGTTCAAGCCCCATGACGGAAGAAAAAAAAAAAAGTTTAATGTTTTCAGTGGGAGAGAATGATAGAAGTGGTAATTGATCAAGATGCATTGTACTAATGTAACTCGGGGAATTGAAACCCATTTCTATAACTGCTTAGTAAATAATACATTGAATGTTTTCTAGTAAATTATCCCTAGTAGCCAGCATGGTTAACATTTTTATCTCTTTTTTTTTTTTTTTTTGTCGGTCATGGGGGTTGAACTCTGGGCTTGGGCATTGTCCCTGTGCTCTTTAGCTCAAGGAGTATGCTCTACCACTTGAACCACAGTGCCACTTCCAGTTTTCTAGTGGTTTATTGGAGATAAGAGTCTCACTGAGGGAAGGGGAAACAAAGGAGGAGGCTACAATGCTTAATAAGAAATGTACTCATTATCTTGCCCATGTAATTGTAACCCCTCTGTACAGTATTTTCACAATAAAAAAAATTAAAAAAATAAAATAATAAAATAAAAAAAGTCTCCCTGACTTTACTGCCGGGACTGGTTTGAACTGTGATCCTCAGATCTCAGCCTCCTGAGTAGCTAGGATTACAGGCGTGAGCCACCAGCGCCCGGCTATTTTTACCTACTTTTTAAATGACAAACAAAGTAAAGGACTGGGCATATAGGCTAAGTTGTGGACTATACTTTCATAATTCAAATGCTGATGACTAAAATATGTTGATGGCATTACTGTGTGCCATTTTATAACTAATTAGTTCAGATACAAAGTAGTATTTATAATCCATAACACATATTTGTACTTATTTCCTTATGGAATGAGAATGCTTTCTACTGAAATAGGGCTTCTAGCCTTCTCCAATTGATTTAGAAAGATACTGTTATGAAAAAAAGTAGTTATATTTTCCTGAAGTGCTATTTTTAAAAAGTAATCATTACACAATTTCTTTTTATATTCTATCAATTTGGTAGAAAAAGGGAGAAGGAAAAAAGGAAAAAGACTTGAGGAATTATAGAGATATGCCATTTACTATAGAAAACATTGTTAGAAAGTTATTCATGGAACCTCATAATTCTGGTATTGAAATTTGTAAAACTTTCTTCTCATTGTTTTCAGATCTTAAGATTTGAGATTACTCATTCTTTTTTTTTTTTTAAATTTAATTTAATTTTATTTGTGAACATACTGTACAGAGGAGTTACAGTTACATGGGCAGGATAATGCGTACATTTCTTACCAAGCATTGCAGCCTCCTCCTTTGTTTATCCTTCACATCCCTTCCCAGCCTCCCCCCTCCCCCCCTAATCCCAATCCTTCTCCTCCCCCCCCCCCCCCCCCCCCCCCGCACCAACGTTGTAAAGCTCGTTTTGGACATGACAACTTGTACTTCTCATTGTTGCAACAGGTCCACCTGTATCCTTAAACAACTGGTTTTTCCCCATCTCCTCCACAAGTTATACTGACATCAAATATAGTGAAAGCAGGGGTTATACTGTGGAGGAGGGACATACAAAGCAACAAAGAGATAATCTTATAAATGTGTTAGAAACACATGCATGAAAGAAAAAAAACATTAAAATACACATCTAAGGGTTCATTTTCCTGACATCACATTATCTGACCTTTTCCGCTTGACTCATACATATACTAGATACTACAAATAAGGGAAACCATGGGAGATTACTCATTCTTGATAGCATTTCACTGAGGTAGAATTATATTTTGGTTTAACTTGCTTAATTAATGTTTGTATAAATGTTTAATGTGAAGTGAAGTTGTAGACATTAGTAGAGAAAGACAAAATTTAATTTCTGTTGTGGCATGTAAGAGATATGTGTGTGTAACCTTTTCAGACTGTGCTAGCCTAATGAAAAAGTGTGTGCAGTGTCGCGCAGTGGTTGAACGAAGAGTGCCTTTCATTATGTGCTGTGGAGGGAAAAGCTCAGAAGATGCCACTGATGATATCTGTAAGTGGATTTTCCTAAGCATTCCTGTATTTGCTCTCTTGTTAAGACTTGTGCAAATATATCTCTCCTTCTGTTGTCTTGTAAAACATAAACTATGTGACTCAGATCAACAAAGGAATATGTATGGTTTTTCTGGTGCTTTTGTTACAATTATAAGAAACCTAATGCTATGTTTTTCTAGTTTGTTGGAACCTGTGTGTATAGTATAAAGTATATTGTGTTCTTTTTCAGTACTAGGGCTTGAACTCATGGCCTTATGCTTGTAGGCAAACACTTTGTATCACTTCAGCCACATCCCAGCCCTTTTAATTTTGGTTTGTTTGTTTTGCTTTGTTTTCCAGTCCTGAGGCTTAAACTCTGGTCCTAGGCGCTGTGTCCCTGTGCTCTTCAAGGCTAGCACTTTACCATTTGAGCCACAGTGCCATTTCCAGCTTTTTCTGTGATTCAATTGGAGATAAGAGGCTTACAGACTTTCCTGCCTAGGCTGGCATCAAACTGTGATCCTCAAATCTCAGCCTCCTGAGTAACTAGGATTATAGGTGTGTGCCACCAGCACCCAGCTACTTTAGTTATTTTTCAGATAGTCCAGCCAGTTACCAAATAGATGGGATGGAGTATGGAATTACAGGTGTGTACCACTATGTGTAGCCCAAGAACATTTTATTTCTATGTAAAGAATACTTGCAATTTTTTCATTTTTATAGTACCGGTGTTTTGAATTCAGGATCTCACATTTGTCAGCCAGGCATTTTACCACTGAGCCATGATTTCCAGCCCGAAGGATCTTTTTTGGTTTTCTTTTGTGGTTCTAGGTTTGATGAATGCTAAGCACACACTCTACCACTAAGCTATACCCAGTTCTACTTAGCGTATCTTAAGAGTGTATTATATTCCAGATTGTTTTTTTCAGTTTACAGACAAATTAACCTGATTGCTTTTATGTATCAGGTTTATAAACTTAAATAGCTTATGTCTTATGGAAAATTATTTGTGACAGTCTAACTATAGGTAGACTGAACTGAAATATAGCAAACAAATAGAAAGATAAAATAATTTACCTTCAAACTTTCCTTATTGTTGTTTGTTTTTGTTTTTGCCCTTTTTTCTTACAATGCTGGGCATTCAGGGCCTTGCTCAGCTAGCAAGTTCTGTGCTATTGGGCTACATCCCATTCTCTATTGTCAACCTTTTTTTTGGGGGGGGGGGGGGCGGGGATCCAGTCGTGGGGCCTGAACTCTGGGCCTGGGCACTGTCCCTTAGCTCTTCAGCTCAAGGCTAGCGCTCTACCACTTAAGCCACAGCGCCACTTCTGGCTTTTTTTTTTTTTTTTTCTGCTTATGTGGTGCTGAGGAATCGAACCCAGGGCCTCATGCATGCAAGGCAAATGCTCTACCACTGAGCCACCTTCCCAGCCCCTGTCAACCTTTTTAATAATACAGCTCTTTAAAAGGATTATTGTCTTTGGACAGTTTCTTAGGTTTCTCTGTTCCATAAACCTGTTTTTTTCTAACACTTTTGCTCCAGAGCTCTTGTATTTTTCACATTTAACATATAGAAATAGGGACAGACTAACTGGAATTTAAAAGACAAATAATGTATAGAGTAAGAAACATAAAATCAAAGATTTTCCCATTTTTGCAGACTGCTGATCATGGGCTTTTCTTGAGTTCCTCATCTTAGATCAGTAACAAAAAAATGTGAGCATGAACAAAGGAGGTTAGATTTTGTATGTTTTCATGAAAATGGCCTAAAAGACTTCAGTTAGTGCTGCCAAGGACTGGGAGCCTGGTCCAAGTGATCAAGTTCTTGCCTAGTAAAAATGAGGCCCTCAGTACAAGCCCCAGCATCACCAAATGCTTTGTGCAAGCTACTTCTCCATGTTTCTTATGGTATATGATCAGAGAAAATGTGTTTGAGGAAATAGGTAGAATTTGGAAAACTCACAGTTTTATAAATACAATTCCTACTAATGTGCAACTCTCTTTCTCTCTGAAGATTATAAATGAAAGGGTATAACATGAATTATTACTGTGTTTATTGTCCTGGTATGAAAAAGAATTGTTAAGAAGGATTCTAATAGAGCCTTGGGTTTTTTTTGTGTGTGGGGGGGTGTGGGGTGTCTGTTGTGGGGTTTGAACTCAGGGCCTGGATGGTGTTCCTGAGCTCTTTTGCTCAAGGGTGCTCTTCCACTTTGAGCCACAATTCCACTTTTGGTTTTTGAGTGGTTAATTGGAGTCTCGTGGGGACTTTTCTGCTTGGCCTAGCTTCAAACCATGATCCTCAGATCTCAGCCTCCTGCTAGGCTAGTATTACAGGTGTGAGACACTGTAGTGTGCCTGGCAAATCTTGTTTTTTAATAAATAAAATAGTTTTAGCAATAAAAAGTAAATATATTAGTAATAACCAAAAACATTTATCTGTATTACAGCAAGTGGGAATATTCCGGTGTTGCAAAAGGACAAGGATAATACCAATGTCAATGCAGATGTGCAAAAGCTGCAGCAACAGTTGCAGGACATTAAGGAACAGGTAAGGAGCTTGTCATGTTAAACATTAATTCTCAGAATGGCACTTCTGTAAACCAGAGTGTTCACTCTAGTAAGCAGAGTGTATAGTAACATATCACTTGTAGTTTTGAATCTTTGTAATGAGTAATATCTGACTAAGAGATTTAATCAGGTAGTTTTACAAAATAGGAAGGACATATGACCTATGAACATTAAAAAGATTATTCTTGGGCTGAGAAGTTGGCTCAGCGGTAGAGCACTTGCCTTGCATGCATGAGGCCCTGGGTTTGATTCCTCAGTACCACATAAGCAGAAAAAGCTGGCAGTGGCACTATGGCCCAAGTGGTAGAGTGCTAGCCTTGAGCTGAATTATTGAGGGACAGCACCCAGGCCTGGAGTTCAGGCCCCACAACTGACCAAAAAAAAAAAAAAGAAAGAAAGAAAGATTTTTCTCTCACACTAATGACTAGGAAATAAAATTGATTTTTAAAAATTGTTAGGACTAGGAAGGCGGCTTAGTGGTAGAGTGCTTGCCTAACATGCATAAAGCCCTGGGGTTCGATTCCTTGGTACCACATTAACTGAAAAAGCCAGAATGGCACTGTGGCTCAAGTGATAGAGTGCTAGCTTTGAGCAAAAGAAGCTTAGAGACAGCACTGGGGCCCTGAGTTCAAGCCCCAGGACTGGCAAAAAAAAAATTGGTTTTAGCCTGGGCATTGGTGGCTCATCCCTATAATCTTAGCTACTCAAGGGAGCTGAGATCTGAAGATTGCCATTTGAAGCCAGCTTTAGCCTTGAGCAAAAAAAGCTTAGGAACAGTGCCCAGACCCTGTATTTAAGGCCTAGGACCAGCACAATAAATGAATGAATGAATAAATGAATGGTTTTAACCAGTGAGGTGCCTTTACAAATCACCTAGCTTGTGGTACTGTATCACAGAACACTGTGGCTCATACCTGTAATCTTGGCTTATTTGGAGGCTGAGATTGGGAGGATAGTTCAAGGCCAGCCTGGAGAAAAGATTCTTGAGATTCCTTTTCAATTTATAACTAGGTTTGGTGGAATGTAATTGTTAGTCTTGCTACAATTGAAAATACAAAATAGGTGGATCACTGCTTAGGCACATACCCAGGCAGGAAGCAAGAGCCTGTCTCAAAAATAACCAGCTCAGTGGTTTGATTAGAAACCAAATCGGGTTTGGTTAGATTATGAATTTTTGTGGTTTATATACATCTCTCTCTATGTGATAGTTTATTAAAAGTGTCTATGTGTGTATGTCTGTGTGTGTGTGTGTACACATAGAAAAGAAAAGGAAAACTAAATGTAAAATTCAGAATATTTATTGATGAGATGCAAAGGATTAAGGAGGATTTTTGAAGAGGCCTCAAAAGTGAGATTAGCATTCCATACTTTATCAGTTATATTGTTCTGTATATTTTAAACATTCATCAACAAAAGTAATTCTTAATATCAACTCAGTATGTAGCGAGATAAACTGTCTGAATCTTGTAGGTGTATTTGGTAAGTAAGACAGCATAGCATGGTGATGCGTGCTTGAAATCCAGGCTCTTAGACAGGTGCGGGAAACAGGCAAGAGGATTAAGTTTTGATATAAGCTTGAGATTCAGAGTAACAATATTTCAACAGAACACCAGCAGCAGCAAAAAGAAAGTAATCTTTTTTGGCCATTCCTTGCCATTTGGCCCTAATTGATTCAGAGCTCCAGCAATGAGGTGGAGTCTGGGGCTGACAGCCACATCAATATCACCCAGTAGCTTGAGTCATCACTCCTGAGTTTACTGTCTGAAGAAACAATAGATGCGACCAGGTTGACTAATGATTGTTATGGACACTAGTTTAGAAGTGAATGCATGTATCTATTAGGCCTTAAACATCTCTCTGAAGAAATGAAGGCCTTTTGATTTGGCTAGTTTTTCTTTTGAGGGATTTAAAGGTTGTTGAAAACATATTGGCTCATTATAAAAGTTTAAAAATGAAACTGATAACACACAAATACACACACACACACACACACACACACACACACACACACACACACGAAAGTTTTGGTGCTGGTCTGGGGCTTGAACTCAGGGCCTTGGGAGCTGTCTCTGAGCTTTGTGCTCAAGGCTAGCTAGCACTCAGGCACTTGATCCACAGCTCCACTTCTGGTTTTTTAGGGGTAGTTGACTGGAGACAAAGAATCTCTTGGACTTTCCTGTCCTAGCTGGCTTTGAACTATAATCCTCAAATCTCAGCTTCTGAAATAGATTGTTTGATGTGTTTTCTCTGAAAAGGATTTTACCTTTTCAGTCTGGTTCAGAAAGGTACCACATATTTCCTGTCAAACATATATTCTAAAAAAGAGAGAGACAGATAAAGACAGGAAAAAAAGTAAAGACATGAAGCAGAAGCAAGTACCTGGGACTGTAAGAGTAAGCTACCATACCTTATCCCTCTTGTATCATTTTTTAAAGTGGGAGTGGTAATAGGACTGCTGCTGTATTGTATCCAGCATCTCTACATTGTTCCCCCTCCCACATGCCTGCTACCTATTCTCATGCATGTGCAGCTGGGTACCTAGAAGTGGAGATCTGAATTAACTGGGCCTCTTTAGTGTATAGTATCTATTTTATATAGTACCTTTATACTAATGCTGAAAGAACAACTAATATAATTTATAGGGATGACATTTTGACTATTTTTTTATTTCAACTGTTTAAAAATAAAAACAATATAATTTCACTAAAACAGCCATTAAGGAAATTAATGATAGAGTTAATCACATAATGTTTGCAAAATATGCCTCGCCTTTACTATTTCATTATCTTACATTACAGACAATGTGCCCTGTGTGTTTGGATCGTCTGAAGAATATGATTTTCCTTTGTGGCCATGGTACATGCCAGCTCTGTGGAGACCGCATGAGTGAATGTCCTATTTGTCGCAAGGCTATTGAACGAAGGATTCTTTTGTACTAAGAAGCCTAGAGTGTTTTGTTAGCTAAAGTATATGGTCACGAGATCTTAGTAAGCTTTTAAGCTGCTTGGAAGTTGTAATGAATTAACTTGTACTTTCATAATTTCTTTACTCCAGGGTAATTAGACTGTTAACTATACTAGAACAACAGCCACAAAATGCTGTACCTTACAGTGTTGGAAAATATGAATTTTTTTTTTTTTAGTTTGAAGCATCAAATACATAATTCATAGATAATTTACTTTGGGCTTCTAGGGGAAACATCCTTGAAGAGAAAACACCCTTTTTGTTTCTATTGCATTTTCTCCTATAATTTACAAATTTGTTAAACTGCAAAAGACCTAGTTCTGTATAACAGGTTATCCCTCGTGTATCACAACTACATCATGAAATGACACTGGTAATTCTGAAAAGTCCTGCTTCAAAAGGAAGGGGCAAATCAGACTATTAGGTCACCTGTATTAGGTGATAAATCCTAAGTACAAATTCTGCATGGCTAAGGAAGAAAGTAATAAACTGTCTGTGTTTAAGACAACAATTACCCAAATGTTACTTTCTGAATTTTTAGCATAAATGGAAGAAGCATGGAGTAAGAAGATGACCTTTACATTTAGCTTATTTTCTGGATTTAAAAGGATAATTGTTTAACTGAAATCAATACACCAGTTTTAAAATGCTGGCTAGAAATGAGGAGAAAAAACTAGGCAATCATTGTGAAGAACTAAAAGGGGTGAACAATGAGAGAATATCTATAACTTATTACCAATTGAATTCCTTATATTAATTGATAATGTTTAGTTCAGCTAGCCTTTTTTAAAAAACGATCTGTGAGAAGTATACTTCAGTTTTTCTTGTAATGACTTACCTGGGCTTGATCTAATCAGTGCATTACTTTGGCCTTAGTTAGGCCTCGGAAGGTTCTTCAGTTCAGATGATGTATTGTCAATAATCTTTTCTCTGTACCTGGTAATTCTGACAGTGTTGCTTCATCAGAGGCCTTACTCTCAAAAAGTAATCCTTACCAGAAAGAATAGTCTTTCTTTTATACTTGCAGATAAAGATATTTGAACTGCCAATAATTTCCAAGATAAAGTAAATATATACTTACTTAGAATGAGTCCCAGAACATTTATAGAAGTAAATCTGATTACCTGTAGAACTTTTTTTTTCCATGGGGAGCACACTTGGACTCTGAGTAATCTTTTGCATTTAGGGCAAAAATGATGGTATTTCTTGCTGCTAAGATTATAGGAAGTGTTAGCTTCTTACAATAGTGTCTACTCTACACTGTGTAGTCCTTTTTGTGTGTGTGTGTGTTTCCTTTTTGAAACCTTTTCTCATGGATTCTCTGCTGTGACAACTCTGGCTCTGTCTTGCTGCGCCACCTGTGCCAGGCCTGGTGAGAGCTTAGCTGGCTGCTTCTGTAGTCTGCAGGGCCATGGAGAGACAAGGAAGTGTTAGCATTTTGAATAGTGAGGTTTTTTAATAAACTTCTCTAGTTATCTTTTAGTGGCCACTAAGGCTACTTTTTTTTTGGGGGGGGGGAGGTCGGTCGTGGGGCTTGAACTCTGGGCTTGGGTGCTGTCGTCAGCTCTTCAGCTCAAGTGGAGCTCTCTACTGCTTGAGCCACAGCTCCAATTCCAGTTTTCTAGTGGTTTATTAGAGATAAGAGTCTCACGGACATTCCTGCCCGGGCTGGCTTTGAACCGTGATCCTCAGATCTCAGCCTCCTGAGTAGCTAGGATTACAGGCATGAGCCACCAGTGCCCAGCTTAAGGCTACTTTTAAGGTATATTTTGAAGTTTCTTAAAAAAAAAATCTGACCAGTGATGTTTACAGAAACAGCCTATCTTGTTGGAAGTTTGAAAACAAATCAGGACTCCCTTCTCTTCCATGCCATAGACCATCAGTCCCTTTGTAGTAGCAGACACGTATAGCTTGGTCCACCTGAGGACCTAGTGGGCTCCAGCCATATTTCCCTTAAATTGGTTTCATTTGACTTTTGAGCTGCAGTGCTTATATATCCCTAAAAGGCAATATCATTTTCTGACTAGTCTATTTTTTGTATATTAAGAATGGAACTTCCTAGCTTCTATTTTAGAAAGTCATAATGATGTTAAGTCTCTTATGATGTTAAGTGCTTTGGATTTTCTTGACTGTATTACTCTAAAATTTATTTTATGAATAGAAAATATTTCTCTGTTCAATTTTTCAAGCCCCCAAAGTTATTTTTAATTTATTTTGGGTTTTGAGCAAGAACAAGACTTAAGAATTTAATTGTTTAAGTGACTTTCCTCCAACTCTGAAAGTGCTACCTCTTATGTCTCTTAGCAGTACTTTGCCAAATAGGTGTGTTTTCTCCTTATTATCTAAACCTCTTTATCTTGTGCCTCAAAAGAGTTCTTACCTTTCCTAGAATCATTTGAAAGCATGACATGCATTGATTAGACAATGTATTTATTAGGTTTCAGGGGCTAGATTCATTAACATTGAAACACATCATCTAGCACACTCTGAATTTGTGTGTGTATATTTGACATCATCCATAGACAGGAAATGGGGTCCAGAGGTACCAATAGCATTTCTTCCTAATGTTGCAGAAAAATTGTCATTGACTAAGATTGGATTCCCTCTCTGTACTCCCTTACCCTGCCACATTTTCTCCTTCATTCTAAGACTCATCTTTGTAACCCCAAACACAACTTACCATATGGTGCTATATCCTAATTGTATTTGTTCACATGATTTAACATCATATTATATACACATGTCATTTTGTTGGGAGCAAGATATCAGGAGAAAATAATTTCATATTAGTAGTGTTAAGAATATAATAGTAGACCAAGGGTTAGTTTAGCAGGCTGAATTATGCTTTTAAGGTATTTGTAATTTTAAACATTGTTAATTAACGAACTAATTACTAAAGCCTAAAATGAATTGATAGATAATATTAGAAATGACTTTCTTAAATTTTAATTTGTGATGGCTGTGGCCCAAGAGAACTTTTTCGAATATTGAAATACATGCTGCTTAAGTTTTGTCCAGTTCAGATTTCAACTTTCTAGGCCATCTTAATACACCAGAAACATCCTGAATATTTATGCATTGCCTAATTGCTGTTGTTTATTCTGAATTTTGGAACCAGTTGGACTAAAAATTAGTTAAAACTTATGAACTAAGGAAATTATGGATGATATAGGTTTAGGTCAGCACTTTGGAATTTCAACAAATAGGAAACAAAAGTGTGTGAGTATAGAAGAAGAAAGAGAATAATGTAGATGTGATGAAAGTATTAGTGGAGAGAGCAAATCTAATGGACTAATGAAAGGAGTCTGTTGAGTCTGATTTTAGAATAGTTTAATGTTTTTGTAAATTGCAGATTTTAATACAACTTGCTTCTTTTTTAATCCCAAAGGAAAAGCACTTATTCTCTCAGTGTCTGAAATGTTTTACAGTAATAATTTGTGTAAAAACTTAATTTTTTATGTTTATTATGGTAAGAAAACTGCAACATAAAATTTGCCATCCTAATTATTTATACGTATACAATTGAGTAGTGTTAAGTATTTTCATTTTGTTGTAAAAAAGGTGTCTGTAACTTTATTTTGCAAAAGTAAAACACTATACCCACTGAAGAGCTCTTTTCCCCCTATTGACTAGAAATTTGACAATATATAAATCAAAATTTGAATTACTTGGTAGTTTGTGTTTGCAAGATTGAAAGTCATAGTAAAATGGCAACTTTGTAAAATTTGGAAAGAGACTGCCTCTAAATTTTGTGCATGTGTGTTGGTAGTGGGGCTTGAACTCAGGGCCTGGGTGTTGTTCCTTTGTTTTTTTGCTCAAGGCTAGTGCTCTACCACTTGAGTCATAGGTCCACTCCTTATTCTTTTTGGTGGTTAATTGAACACAAGAGCCTCATGGACTTTTCTTGCCAGGCTGGCATCAAACCTTGATCCTCAGATCTTAGCTTCCTGAGTAGTTAGGTGTGAGCCACAGACCTGGTTCCTAATTGTTTTTTAAAATAATAATTAGGTAGTTTCCCCCCTCTTTTTATTGGCATATTATATTATTGGTACAAAGTGGTTTATTGTGATACTTCCATATATGCTATAATGTACTTTGATTTGGGTAGGTTTTACTTGTCTGTTAATTGGAAGGTTTTTTTTATTTCATTTTGAGCCAAAGGGAAGAAACACATTTTAATGATCAGAATTAGGCTGGCTTTGAATTTGTACTAAGTTGGAAGGTAAAAGATTTTCATAAATCATGTGTGTGCCTTGTTCAAAATGTCAGTTGTCATTAAGTCTCCTTGTCAAAGTTTCAGAATGTTTTTCTCTCAAAACAGCAGCTTGAAATTAAATTAACTTGCTTGAATATTATGATAGGAATGCTTACTGATATTACTTGATCATGATATATATCCTTGGAACTTTAACATATATATACATATATATATCCAACTTACATCAGTATTAGTAAATACAGTTGTACTTCTTTAAAACATTAAATTTGAGGAAACTGATGTCTTGTGTATATTGCTTTACTAAGTGAGGGGCTATTTTTTAGATTCAGCTTCAGTACTGAGAAATGGCTAGTGGGGTGAAACTCAGTATAAAGACATGAGTTAGAGGAGCTGATAAATTAAAGTTACAAGTTGCTTTACATTGGCATTTTCTACCTCCTTTTTTGTCAAGAGTATTTAACCTTTTCCAGCATTCATTCTTATTTGTGAGTGAGGGGAAAATGAAAAGCTGTGGTTAAAATTAAGATTTTTGTTTTGTTGGGGATTTATAAGCAATAAATACAGGAAAAGTGATTTGTCACATTTTATGTGCCTAAATCCGTAACTGTAAGTTATAATTGACATGTACAAAAGACTTAGGGAAGATAATGTTGCTGAATATTTTAATTTTCCTGTATAATCCTCTTGATTTATTTCATAAACGTGACTTCTTCCTTCCAAAAAAACAAAATGGTCTAGTATAAATTTTTTTTAATAAAATAAACAGATGTGCCATTTTGTCTGAGATACTTAGATAATTTCAGGAAGCTATTGAAAGTTCTGACTCAGGGCTTTTTAACAGTTGAATCACTTGCTAAATATATTTTGCAAACTCTGTCCATATAATTCTTCAGTGCCTTGAAAGAATTATTAACTTGGCAACACTATTAAAACTTTATAAAAGGCGGTTTTTAGTGCCCATGTGTCATTATATACCATTGATAAGTCCTATTGCTAGTCTGTGTGATGGTGGTGCTGCACATGTGCTGACTTTGCATAATTCTTTTGTTTTTTTAAAAAAATTACTAATGTCCATAAAAAGTTACCAGAAAATGATTCTGTGCTGCCATTACACAACTCATGTTAAATAGCTTCTGGGAAGAGGAGAGAAAACTTAAAAGTCTGCTATTAAGTAAGAAAGGAGGACCAGTTTGGGAAGCACAAATGAAAGGAAAAGACAAACAACAACCTCCCCCCCAAAAAAACCCCAACAAACAAAGACCAAACCTATCTCTTTGTTCAGGTAATTCAGATTTAAGGAAAAAGTTAAAGGAAATCGCAAATTGCTAATTGCATATTATTCTTAATGTTTATCTTTTAGACTGATTTCACAAAATTGTTCTGTTAAGTTCACTATGCTTTAGATATTCTACATGCAGGATATTCAAATGATAGAAAGTAGTTTAATTGACTAAGCAGTGTTTTTGCTTTGTATTTTTTTCAGTTTTTTGTTTTTGTTTTTGTTTTTAGCCTTCAGTGTCGGAATACATTAAAGGCTTGTTTGTAGATACAGTTTCTTATATGGAA